CTGGGCGTTCTGGGGCACCAAGACATCGACAGGGGCACCCCATTCCCCTGCAGGACATGCATTGACTGGGACCGCTTCCTGCAGGATTACTACTGTGTGGCACAGTGAGTGCCGAGTGGGACAGGGGGCAGGGGACACTGTGGTGGGGCTGGTGCTGAGCTCCCCATGTCTCCCCACAGTGAGGGGGCCGGGCTGGTGCTGAGTGGGGCACAGCGGGAGCGGTGCCAGGACCTGCTGCGGCGCCTGGCGGAGCAGCTGCCGCAGTTCAGCATGGAGGGCAAGCTCAACGTCTGGATCCTCAAGCCTGGTGCTGAATCCCAAGGCAGGGGTAAGGCTGGGGGAAGTGGGGGACACACACAGGCTCCCCACCGAGGAAGGGTCCCACCATCGCTGTGCCCCTGTTCCCCAGGCATCGTCTGTGCGACGCGGCTGGAGGAGGTGCTGCGGCTGGCGAGGGGCTGCACAGCCCCCTCGGTGCAGGAGGGCAAGTGGGTGGTGCAGAAGTACCTGGAGCGGCTGCTGACCATCTTCGGCACCAAATTTGACATCCGTCAGTGGTTTGTGGTGACTGACTGGAAGCCGCTGACTGTCTGGTTCTATGGAGACTGCTACCTGCGCTTCTGCTCCCGGCCCTTCTCCCTGCGCTGCCTGGAGCGGTGAGTGCCCCCCAGACTGACCCCAGTCCCCCAGACTGACCCCAGCCCCCCAGCCTGACCCCAGCCCCCCTCTCTCCACCCCAGTGCCAGGCACCTCTGCAATGTCTCTGTCCAGAAGTGGTATAAGACATCACCAGACCAGGACCCCCGCGTGCCCTCTGACAGGGTCTGGTCCAGCAAGCAGTTCCAGGCATACCTGACATGGCTGGGGCAGGCAAATGCTTGGCATCAGGTGATAGTGCCTGGCATGAAGGCGGCAATACTGAGCGCCCTGCGTAGTGCCCAGGACCAGGTGGGCTTCCGCAAGAGCAGCTTTGAGCTCTATGGGGCCGACTTTCTCGTGGGAGAGGACTGCCAGCCCTGGCTGCTGGAGATCAACTCCTGCCCCACCATGAGCCCCTCCTCAGCCGTAACCCAACGACTCTGCGCCAATGTCCAGCGGGACACGCTGCGCCTTGTGCTCGACCGCAAGGACAACCCCACCTGCTCCATTGGAGCCTTTGAGCTCATCTACAAGGAGGTAGGCTGGGGAGCTGGGGGGGCAGGCACACTCTGGGCACCCCAAGTCCCCACTCCCTGCTGTGTCCCCACTCGCTGCTGTCTCCCCACAGGCAGCTATGCCCAGGCCACTTTCCGGGCGCGTGAAGCTGATAGTCAAAGGCTGTTCCCTGAAGAAGTGCTGGTCAGCACAGCATCAAGCCCAGGTCAAGCCCCCCACCACTGTGCCCAGTGCCACCCAGCACCCTGCGCCCCCAAGGGCCAAAGACACCCAGGTGCCCCAGCGAGCACAGCATCGACCCCCCACCACTGTGCCCAATGCCCCCAGGCTCCCCGTGTCCCCAGGGGCCAGAGACACTCGTGTACCCAAGCGAACACAGCATCAGCCTCCCACCACTATGGCCAGTGCCCCCAAGCTCCCCGTATCCCCAGGGGCCAGAGACACTTGCGTACCCAAGCGAGCACAGCATCGATCCCCCACCACTGTGCCCAGTGC